CCCTAGGCCTCCTTCGTTTAGCTAGATGCAACTTCATATCATGAGCTTTAGTGCATAGATCATTGAATCCTTCAAAAGTTTGAGCCATAAGAGCCGTAGAGAGCTCATGTCGGAAGTTGTTAAGGCACATCCGAATTAACTCTAATTGTGTAAACTTTTGAGGACAAGCAAATGTCAAAGCTCGCCATCTTGCAATGAAATCTGTAACAGACTCATTGTCACGTTGCTTGGTCTCAATCAGTTCTGGTACACTAACTCGCCTTTGTGTGTTGCAGAACTGTTTAAGGAACTCCTTCACCATGGAATCCCAATTTAGGATTGATCCCTCAGGAAGGTTAGCATACCAAGTAAATGCAGAATTTTCAAGTGATTGAACAAATAGCTGCAGACACAGGGCCTCATTCTGGGCTATTGGCCCGCACCTTAAAAGAAAATGAGCCACATGTTGTCTTGGATCTCCTGTTCCATCAAACATTTTGAAATCTAGTTGGGAAAAACCAGAAGGGAATGGAACAGCATCTACCCATGCTGGGTAAGGTTTGGTAATTATTCGAAAGTTCTCATCATCTTTTTCTTTGACTTTCTTTACTTGTCTCCTCACCATATTATCAATCATGGCCATGAGCATTGGATTCATACCACCACTGGTTAGATCAGAGTAACAAGGACCATTGCCCCCTGGGGCTAGTGTACTTTGTATGCCTACAGATGTCCCCACAACAGGTTGTGTCATTTGTTTGGGTGTACTTCCTGGTCCTGTCATTTGGGCTTGCAACTGTTGCATTTGCTCCAACATAGCAGCCATTTCCCGTTCTTTTCTCTCGAGTTGTTCTTGTAGGGCCACCACTTTTTCCTTGAGACCTTGGTCTTGTTGGACCTGCGAATTTTCACCTTCTTTCTCAACCTCAGTCATCATAACTGTGCCTTTATTGATATCTTTCAATTCATTCTTTCCAATATTCGTTGAAACAAACGAGATAGAATCATCTTGTTCGTATAAAGGATTATCAACCCCCACAACATTACTTATATTTGAAGCATCTGACTGCGATGCTTTGTTTTGAGCCTGACGAGTTATGGACTTTGTTACAGGCCCTTTTTTTATTCCCTCCATAGATAGTTCAACCAAAGTAAAAATATTTCCCAATGGTTGCTTACCCTCCTCCGCCTTGGATTTTCCAACAAAGACAGGACTTTCAATTTGTTTTTGGGGTTCATCTTTCGATAGAGCCCTTTCAATAGCTCCTATAACATTTGTTACCACTGTTCTTAGTTCTAGTTTCTTTAAGGCCTTATTTCTTCTTCGCCTTTGTCTTTTCGAAACTGGACCGGATGACTTATCAAGTCGAGCCCCTAGGGGCATAGAAGGAACCATTTGCGTTTTTGCAAATTCCTCATGAATTTTCAAAACAGTCCCTACATTTTTAGAGCAGGCCAATTGATGTTGATTCAAATCCCGTTGGGCCAACAGGTGTTCCTTATTTGAACCTTGTCGGGCCAACGGGTGTTCTTTATTCTGTCGGGCCAACGGGTGTTCCTTATTCGAACCCTGTCGAGCCAACGAGTGTTCCTTTGGCTCTTGAGAGTTGACTGAGATTTGGTTTGACCGATTTTGTGCTCTGAACAGAACTATCGGTTTGTAGGCCGCAACTGTTTTTTCAACAACAGGGGCCTTTTTTCCATCAACAGGAGTTTGGGTCATTACCCTCCTCCCAATGGCCCTAATAATGGCCATGTTTTCAGCAAAGGCTTTCTTCTGGGCAAACTCCACCATTTTAATTGAGTCTTCTACCCTTTTGAGTAGTTGGGCTACAACATTTTTTGTTGCCCCCGTTGAAGCTGCAACAAAAGTCGTAGTTGCAAACTGATTAGCCTCCTTTGCCTGAATTAGAAAGCTCTTCGTTCAGGCTGTGGCCCTCACAGTTGCGTACTGCTTTGACGCTTTCACATAATCTTCAGTAATCTTCAGTAATCTTTCTCAAACTTTCAGCTTTCTGGAGAAGTGTGACTTTCTTTGTCACACCAGTTACCTTCGGGACAGCCAAGAGCTTTCACTCCGGAGCCCCTTGGGTGATAGAGGAAAGAAGTGCATCTTTCCAGGATTTCGTTGGTTCTACCTTTGAGACAGCCAAGAGCATTCGCTCCGGAGCCCCTTGGGTGATGGGTGCTATCTCCACCCTTGGTGATTTCAGAACCACTGGATTGTAGGTTTGTCTCCTAACAGTTGCTTCAGCATTCCTATAACAAAAGAATACATCAGTAAGTTTCAATTATATATATATATATATATTAATTTTTTGTTCTTCAAAAGATAGGAGGAGAAATAAGTCCCACTGGGCGTGCCAGAATTTGTAGACACAAATTTTAAAACATGAAATGTTTCAACACATTTCAAAATTTTATGTTACAAATGTCCACTGTTTAGTCTTTGGACTAAACAGTGTTGATTATTTGAATAGCAGGTTCTTATTTCCGATCTGTATTTCAGATCTTTAATTACACATTTTTATACAAATGAAACCTCCGATTAATGAAGAACAAAATAAAGACAATTTAAGAAAAAATAAATATTTCATTGAAATTATTATGGGCTTTGAACCCTCGAATACAAAATACAAGTCTTGGGTTTGGAACCCTTTACCTATTCATCGCCATTAGCGTAGGCTCTTCAGTTCTCTAGGCTTCTCTTCTTCTTTTTTTTGGTAACGACTTCTTTAGCTCTCAATTCCTTTCTCTCCCTTTCTGATCTTTTCACTTCTAATTTCTTGATCCTCCATCTTGTGTGATGGTCCTCATATTTATGGAGAGCCATCAGGTGATATAGGAATGTTTCATCTTCAATTTGAATTTCAAATTGAATGATAGCGCCATTTGAATTTTGAATAATAGCGCTATCTGATTAATTGAGAACATTTTATTCACAACTATTTTGAAGTCAAGTTATTTGAAAATGCTTTCCAAAATTTTCCTCTACAATTTTACTTTTAAAATTTTTCGTAATCTTCTTCCAACAAACTTGACATCTTTGTCCCCCTCAACCAAAATCCTGGCTCCCCAACTGCCACAGAGTATACTTTCTGCTAAAGATGTGTAAGATTGAAGGATAGGAATCATGAAAAGTTAACATAATCTAAAATTGTGGAAATCATGATAGCTTCCAATAATATGCTTATTTTGAAAAGAATAAGTTGTTGGAATGGATGCTAGTTCAGTGGAACCGTATTAAATTCGGATTCAGCTTTTTGTATTCAGAACTACCACTTCAACATGTAGAAAATTTTAAGGTTCAAGTGTGACTGAAACCTGCTTTTTCTTCATCTGGATGTTCATTCATGCTCCTAAATTGTCTTAGCTACACAGCAGCTTCCACGCCTTGTTGACACCAGTACGTGACCTCCGAAGAGGTCTCCCTGCTTCATAGCTCTTGCCCAATTGAGATTGGATAAATCAAATGAATAAGGGCCTTCTTGGTTGTGTTTTCATTTGTTTTCTAAAAATCATGAATTTTAAAAAACTATTTTGAACAAAAACGAAAACAATGGATTTTTTTTTTAACTCTTCATTGTTTTTGTTCCCAAAAATGAAGATTATGAAGACACAACAAAACATGCCCTAAGCTTTTTGATTGATTCAAGATGCAGCCAAGGCAAGGGGTTCAATTTACTTCCATAATCATGAGCAATACTGAACTTGAGTAATTAACACCCACATCCCCCAAGGGTAAATAAGGGCATTATGTGAAAGGTGCATATAGGAGATTTCATTAGCATGTACAAAAAGAGTTCTCTTTTCATAGAATAAGAGGTAGTGGATATTAAAGTTCATATTTGCCTTTATTTGAATGCTCCATGGAACTGAAACGCACTATTTCACTTCAAGGATCAATTAGAAAACGCAAGTCAGTGGCTTGCTAGAGTCATCCCATAATCACTTATACACCAAGTGAATTACTTAGAAACCAGGTCAATGTTTTAGGTCCTAAGTGACATTAACAAATAGGATAACAAAATTATCAGTGATGCTCAAACACAATAATAAACACAATGGACTTAATAATGCAAAAGCTTAATAAAAAGCAAAGGGATCGTTTACTGTCTAATTGTTGTTCAAAAGGCCCATTTGTATTGAGATCCTGCCCAGTATATACAAATGCACATTTCAAAAATGAAAATTTAAACAACTCAAAATTTGCCAATTGTCATCACTCATCATTGTGTCTGATTTCAAGAAAGCAAAGAATCAATTCAACCAAAAACATACAACTTGAAGCATCAGAACATAGTAACGTCAAATCCTTTAATTAAACAAAGCAAGGGTAATCTGATTAAATGCTGCTAATAATGCCTACCTATTCTCCCAATTCAACACTGGATTGTTGGTTGTATACTCAAAAGTTTTACAGGCTCAAGTGAAATGGAAGTTTTGATTTCTTACATGTTGAATAGCATTTACAATCAATATCTGTTCTTGCATTACCATTTATCTACCACCAACTAGAGCCTCTGCCTGTTATGTTTGGATTTAAGATAAAAACAAAGAAACTGAACCAGGATATAATTATCAGAAGACAATGAATGATCTAGCTCAGAAACATCACAACTTCAACAGTTTAAAACTGAACTGAATCAAAGCTAATCAATGCTGATAATCACAAGCAGCAAAGTTCATACAAGGCTTCGGAACTTCTAAAACCCCAGCTTGAATAATCAAATAACAAACAACGGACTTCACACCTTAATTCAGATTCAAAAACCTACATTATCAGCAATTTAAGTAATCAAACAGTTGATCACAAATCAAAAAAAATAAAATAAATAAAAGAACCAGAGTAACCACAAGTTAAAAGTAGCCCTAACTCAAAAAATTGCAATCTGATTCATCAAACAAAAATCAAAATTCACAGAAAAAAGCATTCAAACTGTTCCGACTTGGATTGAACCAGACCAGACCAGACGAGACCAAACCAAACAAAATCAAGAAAAGTAAAATGCGAGGATGACCTTGTTTATCGAGAACCTTGATGAGATGAGGACGCGATTGGAGACCGATATAGTCGCCCCTGTAATCTCTGTGGCGGGAGGCTTTTCGGCGGATCTTGACCCCCATGAAGGGCTCTTGATCTTCCGTGACGTTGCTACTTGAAGGTCTGAGTTTCATGCTGCTTTCTCCTCCGCCGTCATTTTCTACAGTTTCTGATGCGGTGGCCACGCCGTCGTCGTCATAGTGGACTCGCCGCTGAGACTGAAACTGGCTCATAGGGTGTGTTTGGTTTTTTTTTCTTTTTTTTTTTTTTAACAGATTTTGTTTGATTGAGTTGAGAGATTGCATTAGAAAAAGAGGGATTAAAGATTTTGGGAAGCAGAGGGATGCAAGCTGATTGGTGGACACCGACTCACCTGTGATCCAACACTGGCACTGAGACTGACAGAAATGAATTGTATCCGGGTCGGAAATCCGAGCTGGAATCCTTGTCCTAGCAACAAGGGCAAATTATTGAGGAAAAAATTACATTATAAATATATAAATGTAAATTTATCTTTTTTTATTTTTATGCAACTCTCACACGTAAAAAGAGTTATATCAAATATATGAATAAATTTACACTATGATTTTGTTTGGGAAGTTATTATTTTAGTAGGTTATTTTAATTTTTTGCTATTTTAGTAGGTTAAAATTTTTGTATTTGGGAAGATGATTGAATTTTTTTGTGATTAGATGTAATATTTGTGAGAGAAAAAGTGAAATAATAATGGGTTTGATGTGATATTTTGTCTTATTAGTTATTTTAGCTTATTATTTTATTACAATTAATTTTTTTATTCTAATTTTGTTAAAAATTTATACAAAATTAGATTATGTGTAAAACACATAATACACTGATTAATATTTTAAGATAATAATACCCGTTATTGAATTTTTTATTTTTTTTTTCAAATAATAATATCATTATCTAGTGATCTCATTTTCGTTTTGTCTCCCTTTATTTAGTAGCAAAGTGCAAATGCCAAGATGCTTGTAGCAGCGGTGTGAGGTTGGCTTAGGGTTTGGAGTGAGTGGGAAGAGTTTGAGAAAGAGAAAAGAGAGAGGTGGAAAAGGGCATGGGGTGAGAGAGAGGTGACGGAGATAATCAAAAGTGGCTAGGATTAGGATTTTGTAAAATACCGTCCAATCTATTAAAATCGCACTGATTTATTCACTAATTGCGGATTAAAGTTTGAAATGTATAATCTTCATTCAAAACCTCTAAGCTAATATATATTTTTTTAACCTCTAATGAATATCAAAGTAAAAATAAGTTTGAGAGATATTTAAAATATGAAATTTATTACAAATTAGTAGTTATATATATGAAAAATATTATGTAAAGTTAGTTAGTGTTATATATATGAAAAATATTATACAAATTAGTATTATATATTATACAAATACTTGATAATTGTTTAAAAAAAACCTTCAATTAACTGAGAAATTGAAACCATCCTAAACTGTCCAAATCGCGGTTTGATTATTTACCAGTCCTCCATTTCCAATTTGATTTGACATAGCAAGAGCCATAAAGGCTACAACCCACTATGAACAACCTAGGCTCACCACTTAGGGTCCAATACATAATCCAATTAATGAAGCCCAGCACCGCTGAAGCCCCATATGGCAATAAGAAGCAATGGCATCAAGACACATGGCAAGAGAAGGGCAAACCACATCAATAGATAAAGATCTGCAAAGTTATTGCTACGCCACATCGCCATTAATGAGGCCGCTTACAGCATTTATCGCGATAACCCCTCTCCGTCGGGACATCACGCCACCACCCTGAACAAGGTAAGCTACAGCATAGACTTTCGGCCAATGTGACAAGTCGGAAGGGACAACAAAATGATTACCAGAAGATATAGGCATACGTTGAAGACAAGAAGAAGGTTAAGCTTTTCTATCTCTAGTCTATCTCTACAATCTACTTCTCTTCCTAACTTGCTCGTCAGAGGGTTCGCTGGGGGACTCCCCGTTCCCCATTGGACTTTTGTGCAGGTTCCCCTTGGGCTTGGTCATTCGGACATAGGCTTGAAGAGCGTGGATCAGTCCGACCTGCCCTACCATCTCGAACTGTATCATCATGATTTATAATTTTTTTCTCAAACCGCACGAACTGCACCGCACACACCTTTAGGTAGGATAGTGGATGGTTGTGGTAGAAGAGGTATGCCAATGTCGAATTAAGGTTTTCAAATGCAATAGAAAAAAAATGAGAGAAAGGGTATGGTTTTGTTATACACAGTGGTAAATAAATAATTTAAAATTAATTTTGAAATTAAACAATAAAAGAATTAAAGTGGGAAGAAAAAACTATTTAAAATCAAGTAAATTTCAATTATTTTCATCTCTATTGCATTTAAAAAGTTTTTTTTTTTTATTTATTACTTCCATTGATGGTGTGTTCTTGATAATATATAATAAAGAGTTTTGATTATCTCAAATTGACCATCTAATTTCCATAAGTTGGCAATTTATTTTTAATTGTAAAAAATTTAAAATTTTACTTTGAAGAATTAGAGCTCTCACATGGCCTTAATTAAAAAGACTCTTTGGCTTTATATATAGATAAATGAGTTATTTATTTATTTATTTATTTTAGAAGGGATATTGTAAATTATATATTTGGTAAATGTTTTAAAATTTAGTTTTATTAGGCTATGTATATTTTTTTATTATAGATAGATGGGGAGCTGGAGGTTTTGGAGCTTCAAATTTAGAAGGCTGTATTAAGTAGGATTGTGTTACACATAGTTACAATTAATCACGTCACTTATGGTAATTTCATTATGTTATAAGTTTTGCAATGATATAAATTAATTTAAGTAAAAGCAAAAATAAAGATTTTTTTGTATGTAAAATAATTTTATATATGATTTTAAGAATATTTGACATAACAAAAGGGAAAGAAATTAGGAATTTTTGGTACGTAGAAATTAGAAAACATGTATAGAGAGAGAAAAGGAAATAAGGCGAGAGAATGAGTGATTTATGGAGTTAATTAGGAAATAATTTATATTATAAACAACTAATGAAAAAGAAGTTTGACACCAGTATATAATCTAATGAAATAGAAAGAAAAGTTTATTGTACCACTTCTTACTTAAAATTAGAGATGACAACTATGACGATCCTGACCCTCGTATTATTTTTTCATAACATTTTATTGTGCATATTTGTATGATTATGTGCTTATTTGGTATTTATCTGTTTGTTTGTGAATTATCCGTTTGAATACCGACGTAGAATGCGAAATTGGAAGCCCAAACGGATTAAGAAACCAAAATTGAGTAATTCAATACGCTAGTTAGAATTTTTAGAACCATATGGTAAGTTTGATCAAAAATTGATTCGAATCAATATAATTAGGATAAGATAATCATAATTGATTAGATTTAAGCCCCGAATAATTGTCTTTTAGTCAAATATTTTTCAAGGGAATTGGAATTTTATTTCAAACTGGAAGACTTGGTCACCGCTTCCTTCCCTACCATCTTTCATAAAATTTGAAATTCCTTCCAAAGTCAATGACCTAAAGATTCCTACTCAATCAAATGCCTTCTATAATCTCCAAGGTTCTACTTAGGTTGGAATTTTTTTTTTTTTAAGAAGTCTTTTGATCACATATTTCCTTAGGGATTTAAATTTTGAAAAGACAATCATTCTTAATTGATCACTAAGGTAAGAATTCAAAATTCAAACTCAAATCCTTTAATTTGAAAAACCATCCCCTAACTTTCCACAAAGTTCTAATCTGAATCCAATCACTCCCCAAATTTTTGTAATTGAATTACTGCCCCGAATAACTTAGATTACCCCATAATCAAATCACCGCCATTTCCAACTCCTCAAATTTTTTGAATGAAATCACTACCTTTTTTATTGTTGATCTCAGAATTAAATCAAACCATTTCCATTTAAGATAAGATACTATATAAGCACATAATTTGCATTCATGCCTAATTGGGGAGTATGGTTGCCCTGTCCTAATTTTGGAAATAGAATCTAAGATTCACTGAATTATACAAAAAGGCAACATTACAATCGTAGAAGGGTGGGTATCATGTCATAGTTTGGAAGGTGTTAATGCTCTCTGTATGCAAAAAGTAAGTTTGGCAACAAAGGGGTACATTAGTTATTACTATCAATATACCTCTCATTCCACAAGGAAATGATCAAACAGTACAAATAACATAATTTGACACTTGCCTTAATGACATAACATAGCCCGCGAATAGTGTCCGGGATATCATGCAATAAGACAGGTTTCCTTCTTTCTAAAATGATGCAATGCAATTAACCACTAATTTCATAAAATAGAATTTTTCAAGTCAAAATTACTTAAGTCCCCAGCAAAGTCGCCAATTGTGGGCACCATGTCTTTTTCGAGTATAAGGCACGTATCTCACACCGACTTGTTTTATTGACATAGAGTTGCTACTTAATTTTTTAAAGAAAAATTAAGAAATTTTTAACGATGAAAACTAAGTTAAGGCCTAGTCATATCCTAAACTAACCTAAAATTCTTGACTAACCTAAACTATGTGATTTGAAGAAAACTGAATATCGTATACTTTAGATTAAATGAATAAAGTCATATTTAGATTAAAAAAATGATTTTTCAAAGAGAAATGGGTTTTGATAACCCATGACTTTAAACATAACTTAAAATACACAATATTCAAGAAAACATACAAAACACACAATTTTGCATACAAAGAGCATATAAACTTGCATTATTTAAAGGATAATGCAAACAACACACCTATGCTAAGGAGGACAGACACTTATATGGATGCCCACTTCCGCATCTTACATGCGTGCATAAAATAAACATGACTTGAATGCAACTAATACATGCAAGATATGAACCTAGATCCTGTTTGAGGCTACTAAATAATGAATATGCATAAGAAGACCAAATAACACATAATAAAAAGAAAAACAATGATATTAGCTATTTACATGATGATTCAACCTGGGCCTAACACATAAGTTCTAGATGATTCAATGAGCCTAATCATGTTGTTCTAATGTACATAAAGAAAACAAGCGAAATAAAGTGAGAAAATGGATAAGATGAATAACCCACATGATGCTATGATAGAGTAACATCTTAGCATGCTTGAATATTGAAGACAAACAAAGAATATGTACTGAAATAGATAAAAATATAGAAGTTTACTTGCTCATTTTACGAAACCGAAGAGCGAATACGAAAGAGAGCAAAGAAACTCAAGTTTCTTGCTTGCAAACCTCCTTCGGGCTTTGGTTCCAAGTTAGGGTTGATGTGCTTCGGTGCTTAGAAGTTTTCAGAGTTGTTTAGTTGATGTAGGAGGTGTTTTTTCGGAGCTAGGAGGAGGGGGAGAAAGGAGCGGTGATATTTGGCTCTTAAACTTGCCAAAAGTGGTTCAATTTCTTAACCCCCTCAAAGAGAAAGGGAGGGGCTCTATTTATAGAGCTGGGGGAAGCCTCCGAAACCCTTCTAGGGTTTCATCACTTCCCTATCTGTTGTTCCCATCAAAAGTGCACCAAAATTGAGTTTCCAAAAATAACTCTGTGATGCTTCAATGTGCGCACATACAAACCAAATGCGCACGTGCAACGATGGTGCGCACATACAAACAACGTGTGGACTCACATCTAACATGTGCACATGCATTTTTTCTTGGTACACGAGGCAACCATGCATGCATGCACAAGTACGTGGTGTTACGCCCCAAAATTTTATTGCTCGGATATATTACCAAATTATTTATAAACATCCATTTCCAATTTATAATTACAGGAATAAGATGAGTTAGATAGAATAAATAAGGTTCTCTCTCGCATAATTACGAAGATAGAAATGTTCACAATACATGCCACAAGGCTTACATGAAAGATTATGAAATAATCATATACAATAGAAGGATAACATCGTTATTACAACATTCTAGCACTTTATTTGCACTACACACAATAAGAAGTCTTAATGAACTAGGACTTCATAATCTTCGAACCATTGCGCCCAACTTTGTTCCTTTAAAAATGGTTAAACAACATGGGATGAACAGTAGGTCCAGTAGAGATCTACAATGATTTCCACTAATAAGATCAATAGATATATGCGATCATAAATGCTATTAGGTGATATATACATAAATAATGTTTTTTCATATGTAAAATAGATTTACATAAATAAATAATCTTTTCATAAAATCTCGCTTGCCATTTTATAGAAAGCTCATTTGTTTATTCTTTATCATTCCAAAATTGAGTCGCATGATTTCCTTAAAACTCACTTCCTTAGATAAGGTTTAAACCGAATAAACATTATTACTTTTAATTCACATTTCACACTCATTAATCCATAAAACTCAAAACACTTACGCCATAAAACTCAAAACACTTACACGCCACAACACATTCTACATATTACAGTTATTTCGCTCGATTCGTTTTCCATTTTGTCTTATTTACTTCTTTCAATTTCTATTACAACCCTTCACCC